GAGAGTCTGGAGTACATATTTGGAAGAGGTTATGAGGGGGAAAGTGATGAATGCAGAATGCTGTGGTTAATTAATGAAGCATAAAATTGGAAAGAGATATTAACTTGTCAAGAAGGTGTAAATGAAAAGACAAAAGGATAGATTTTGCGAGAACAGCCAGGGAGTGTGTGTCAGGGCAAGGGAAGCAGTTGGCAGGTGACACCGGTCACAGGTCAGGAGGATGACAAACTTCTACCTTTATGGAGCTGGTGTTCACAGAGGCACTACTGAGTTCTGAAGCACATCTCTTCCAGTGTACGTGGCATAAAGTTTCAAATAAGCAGGATGCATGTTGGAAAAGAAATTCATTTGGTGGCTTCCACACGGAATTCAAAACAAGCGAATGGTAATCAAGTTCAAGGATAAATGAAAAGCAAGGTTAGAATGAGAAACACGGGAAGGGGAGTTAACAAATATGGATCCAGGGTCTACTTGAAAGCAAGCAGAAACTTCTAACAGAGCTATTCTGATGCTTCTGTATAACTCAAGCTATTTAATCTGGTTGCCTCAATTTTTCTGGTCAAAATGTTCGTTAACTATTTGTAAAATAAAGAATGAATATGTATAGTATTTTATTTATTTATTTGGCAGAGTCTCACTCTGCTGCTCAGGCTAGAATGCCGTGGTGCCAGTCTTGTTCGCAGCAACCTCAGATTCCTGGGCTCAAGTGATCTTCCTGCCTCAGCCTCCCAAATAGCTGGGACTACAGCTGCCTGTCATAACACTGGCCCATTTTTCTATTTTTAGTAGAGATAGGATCTCACTCTTTCTCCATCTGGTCTTGAACTCCTGAGCTCAATGGAGCCTCCTGACTTGGCCTCCCAGAGGGCTAGGATTACAGGCATAAGTCACTGCACCCAGACTTTATTTTATTTTTAAGGCAAGGTCCAGCTCTGTTGCCTAAGCTAAAGTACAGTGGCGCCATTATACCACGGAAACTTCAAACTCTTGGCTCAAGCCATCCTCTTGCCTTGGCTTCCAGAGTAGTTGAGACCATAAATTTGCACCACCACTCTTGGCTAATTTCTCAGCTGGCCTTATTCAATCCCCCTACCTTGGACTTCCAAAGTACTGGACTTACAGGTACCTGGCCCAACATGAATAATTTATATACTTTACTCTCACCTATAATGGAAGACTTCCACTTTCTACTTTATTAATTTCTATATCATTTGCATTTTTGTAAATATATGTTCCTTGTATAATAAGACAAAACATTTCCCTTAAAGGTCATGCCTATAATTCTAGCACTCCATGAAGCCAAGATGAGAGGATTGCTTCAGGTCAGGAGTTTGAGACCAGCGTGAGAATGAGTGAGGACCCTCAATCTCTAAAAAAAAAAGAAAGGAATATTAGCCAAGTGTCATGTTGTGTACCTGCATTTATAGCTACTTGGGAGGCTGAGGCAGGAGGATCATTTGAGCCCAGGAGCTGGAGGTTGCAGTGAGGTATGAGGATCCCACTGTACTCTAGCCGGGGCAACAGAGTCAGATTCTGCCTCCACCTCTCAAAAAGGCAGAACTAGAAAAATTCTATTAGAACAAGGTTAAGCTTCCATGAATATGCCACCTGTACCCCTAAATAATCCTTATGAAGGGGTATATTCATGTTAAATAAAATGTAGCAATAGTGCTCATGAAATTAATGATACATAATAAAAAGATATCACTGAGCATATATTACATCACACTCACAGTAGAGTCCCTTCACACATTTTCCTTAAAGGTCAGCTTTTAAACCTAATCCTCCATCCCAAATAAAAATATATAAGGAAGTATGCCTCCACTATTGCCCACACAACCACAAGCAAGTCTAAGAAGTTGTATTAAGGTTCAGAGCTTAGACATGTGTTGTGAACACATGAGCAGTCAGGGGCTTTCTGACTCCCTAACCTGCCCCATTAACCACTAGCGATGTCATTGTAATGTGAAGGGCACATGATTGAAATTCCCAAAATCTGTATATAGACTTTCCTTGTAACTTTTCATTTAGTCAAACAGCCAGTAATTTTCAACCGGGGTGCTATAGCACACTGGTGTGCTGTGAGGGGAACTTAGATGTGTCTCAAAAATTTTTAAAGATCATTAATTAAATTATTTTCAAAAGGAGTTCAAAGCACGGTTAAGCATATCCTTTTTTTCACTCATTTTTTTTTTTTATCTACATGATTTAAGTGTGCCAGGAAATAAAAAAGTTGAAAAGCACTGAAGTTCAATGGTTCTTAGATTTCATATGCGTAATTACCATGAGGATAGCACACACAAAACCATGTATCTTGTTGTTTATGCATGGTTTAAGGAATTTTCAGAGATAATTTTGTGTTTATTTGCTGATTTTATAGCCACCCTGGTTTTTTGTTTGTTGGTTTTTATAATATGAGACTTGTCTCTATTTGAAAGAATTGTCAGAAACAGAATTGAGGATGTGCTGTGCCACCTTAAGAAAAGAATTAGAAAGGTTACTGTGGTCCAATAGTTTCTCCACCTTCAAAACTAGCAGCTAGCAGATAGGAAATGTTTAACTGGCATTTAGCCTGACAGGAATCCTACAAACTTAAGTATTCATTTTTAATGAGAGATAGAGTTCTGTTATCAAACAGTCAGGTCTTTTTATTAATAAAAACAAACAAGTATGGCTGTTACAACTTTCAGAGAGAAATTAGAGATTTTGAGGTGTGACCCATTTAACAGTCAAGACTTTATGACCCTTTAAGAGATGGAGTGAGGAGGTAAATGATTAAATGGCTCAGTGAAGGTAGTCTGCCAGGTGCTTCCTAACCTGAATGTGAGGGAGAAGGTGAAAAACTAGGATGGAATTAGGAGCCCAGGGGAAACTCAAGAGTGCTGTGAAATCAAGGTCCCCAGGTTGATTGTGCAAGTTGTGACCGACACAAGGAGGGATGGGGGCAGGGGCTGAAAGTCTGGCCTTGTGTCCCCTTAAGAGTGAAGATCGAGTCTAAGGGGTGGATGGTTAAAAACAGGAGCTGCCTTTTCCCAATATGCTCAAAGGCAATCTATAGGTCAGCGAGAGACCTTGGCTTTCACCCAAGTTTAAGGGTTAATTATTTAGCAAACTATCTCAGTTTCAAAATTGTCTGTAAGGTTGATAATACAATAGTTGACCACCTCCCTACACTGACCACCTCCTTAAGTTGACCTGATTTTCATAACCTGGACATGTACTACACATCTGTATCAGTACAGTAGACCTAGTTCCTTATGGTGACCACCTCCACATGTTGACCTGCTTGTTACGGTTCCTGGGATAGTCAACTTACAGAGGTTCTATTATATTTTAAATGTTAATTCATGTTTTTTCACCCTAAATACCTCCTTTTCTGTCCTTGTAGGAGAGGGGTGGGTAGCATTCAAGCAGGTACTTAATTATCTGAGATTTCCTTAATTAAGGGAAGAGATAGAACTGGGCAGGAAACCAAAGGTGACTATGAATTATTCTGGGTTTTGGTTTTACCAAGTCTAAGCATTTAGGAGAGGGAAATTTGCAGGTGTAGACAAAATGTCTTGGCAACAAAGAGGAAACAGAAAATTTCCTTGGGCTGTGAGGAGGTGAGAGGGGAGAAAGACAGAGAGAGACAGACAGGCAGATGAGGGCTAAAGAAAAAAACATAATGTAGAATGAATAAACACATTTCCCTAAATATGAATTCTGAGATTTACATGTACTGCCACTTCCTTTAAGTGAATATGTCAAAATGGCTGTATCAGAATCGTGGTTCCTTTTTTTTTTTAAAGAACCATGGTTCTTGCTTACCACTTACTGGGTACTGTGCAAAGTATGTTCACACCTGTTCTCTCCTGTAATCTGCACAATGGCACTGCAGGGCAGATGTTATTATCATCCCATTTTACAGCTGAAACATCATGGCCCAAGGACACCTCTGGCAAGTAGAGGGCAGAGATCCAAACTTAGGTCTTGTTTTCTTCCTGTGCTGTAAACCAGTTATCAGGGACATACACCTAAACTCAGGAACAAAGGCTGGGGTTCTCAGAAAGTTAAAAAGGAAGAGCTTAGTCCCTTATAACATTGGGTCTGTCTCTTTGGTGCAAGCGGAGTATATAAGGAATACTAATATCCAGAGGAAAAGTCCACTCATCACTAGACCAAAAAGAAGAAAGTCTTAGGCAAAGAATAGAAGTTTCTAGGTCTGAAGAGAATGTAACAACAACTTGTCACCACAATAGACTAT